TTTGGGACATTTTAAAAATATATATTAAGTTAAATCAAAAACATTTTGCATTTGTTCTTCTGAGAAACAGATGAACAGACTATCAGAATGTGAAAATGGCGTGACAATTTCTTTACCACTCTGACAAATTATATTCAATTGCTGTACAGGTTTTCAGTAGCTAAATGATAAACCAAAAGGGAAAACTGTTGGTTTTCAATCAGGTCGTAGTAAGCTAAGTTTTAATGCACATAACAAATGCATGTTATATAAGAAAAAAATTAAGCCAAGAGCTTATTAAGCCCAAAGGTGTTGTATGTGTGAAATCAGGAACCATCATCTATACATATATCACCTATTTTAGTAAGTCAAAAGTGTTGCCTAAGAAAGGAATAGAGGGATCCCTGGGGGGCTCAGCATTTAGCACCTGCCTTTGGCCCAGGGCGTGATCCTGGAGTCCTGGGATCAAGTCCTGCATCAGGCTTCCAGCATGGAGCCTGCTTCTCCCTCTGCCTGTGTCTCTGCCTCTCTCTCTCTCTCTCTCTCTCTCTCTTTCTGTCGCAAATAAATAAATAAATAAATAAATCTTTAAAAAAATAAGAAAGGAATAAAGTTTTGCCATTGTACTACTCTTAGAAAATATAATACTAGTTTTACTCTCTATTTTTTTCCTTTGAAAAGAGAAGCCAACTCAAGTCCAGTCAAAATACTGGTCTCGTGTATCTCTTGCCTTTCTCATTTATCATAATTCCCCTTTCAGAATCTGGGATAAACCAGAATTGGTTCTAGGGCAACCAAAATAAGCAAGCCTTTTATACTCTGTCCAGATTCTCCAGTTATTTATCTTTTCCATATATTTAGAATAGCGCAGAAACGTGTTAGTGTGGAAATGCAGTACAACCAAGAGAATGCTCACCAGGGAACACAGCTAAATCTGTCCTCCTCGGCCCATCTCCAAACCAGGGTGTATCTTAGGAAAAATGTGAGATGAATGTCCATATACATCTCATGAATATTTTTGTGTGTATAATTACTGCTCATGCCAAGCAAAAAGAAATAATTTTACACCTGAGTAAACTACTACAAGGAAAAAAAGGCTGTCCTCTGACCCCCTCCCCCAGAAGTGCAAAAAATAATTTGATTTTTAAGGTGTTTTTAAAATGATGTAGCAGGGATCCCTGGGTGGCGCAGCGGTTTGGCGCCTGCCTTTGGCCCAGGGCGCTATCCTGGAGACCCGGCATCAAATCCCACATCAGGCTCCCGGTGCATGGAGCCTGCTTCTCCCTCTGCTTCTCCCTCTGCCTGTGTCTCTGCGCCTCTCTCTCTCTCTGTGACTATCATAAATAAATAAAATAAATTAAAAAAATGATGTAGCAAACATCTGGCTTTATAGGCACCCCTCCAATATTACATCTAAAATTTTTGAAATGCTATTTGCTGCCTTCTCCCATATGAAATTGTGACCTTTGTAGGTATCTATGTCTCTCTGCTTTATACTTTTTTTTGCCTTTGAGACTTTGTGCCTCTCAAGGGCAGTGCCCGTGTCCTTCTTACCTGTGTCTTCTATAGTGCCTACAAAATGCCTTACACATAGCAGGAGCTTAGTAAATATTTACTGAACTAATTTTTATTGCAAAAGTTAATTTCTGCCTATGTGATATACAAAATGGAATCCCAGAGTGATCAAAGGTTTTGGCCCAAAGGTTCATAATTATACCTTTCCTGCTTTTAACGAACCTATTTTTAGGGCCTGTCTGTTTTAAATACACAACATATGTTTAGTTTTTATTAATGAAAATATGATGGAAGTGAATGAGTAGAGAGTCTTTTGGTCACAGAAAACCCACTGCCCAGTATATACAACAATTATAGAAAATTAAACTAGAGTTTTTTTTGAAAGCTGGAGAAAAGATAGTACTATGTAACACCCAGACTGAATTAACAAGAAATATATCCTACTTCCCACCAGTACCTTCTTAGAACTAGGGTCTGAGGGATGTTTGCTATATTCTCTGTTTACTTTCTTTAGACAAGGCTAAACTTTTATTCTCCTTTTGTCTCTATGAAACAAAAGTTGCAAGAGTCACCGCTCCATTCCTTAGTAATTTAGGACACTAGGCATTTTTCGAGTCCCTGGCATTCTTTCCAGTTTTCTACCTGAAGGCGGGGTTCTTCAACCATGTGAACAGCCTAACGGGTCTCAGAGTGGCAATGAAGGATGAGCTCATTGAGCAAGTGGCGTACAGAGGAAAGGTGTGTCCAGTGCCTGCAGCTGAGGCTGTACGATACTGTTTCAAGGATGAAAATATCCCAACTTTCTTATTTTTTTCACTTGGGACATAAAGTAAGGGGCCATGGATCGACATTCAGTCACTATCTTTTCTTTACCTGGGGCTCTGGGAAGTAAATTTCTCCATATAAAGAAATAAATGAATGAGAAGATCAAGCCAGCATAGACAAAGCAAGTTTAGGCCCAGGACAAATACCAAGAAGAAGATCCTTAGACACCCTGCAATTCTCATTCCTTATTCAGACAGGCAAGCTGTTTCTTAGATGTTCTGAGACCCGAGTGTTCTAGGACCTTCCTTGAGAGTACAGTTACCTGCTAATCCCAACTACTTTCCACAAGAAGGGAAAATCGTTTTATGACAGGATTTGGGATTACCAACTACATTTTAGAGATTTCCAGAGTCTTAAGTATAGCATACTCTGCCTTCTACAGAACTCTCCTATCGGCCCAGCCTATCCATCCCCACTACCAGTGTCTCAACCAGACACCCCAGCGCTTCTAATCATGACAGCTCAACAGTCTCCTGATTGGCCTCCCTCTCTGCTATCTCCACAGACGCTGCAGACACCACACGAACTCACACCAATGCCTTCTATCATGTGACATCTCTGATTCTCCTGAGTCACATCACTCAAGGACCCTTCAAAGGCCCTGGGTGACAGAGATTCAGTTCTGGGCTACCATTATATCCTCAGCACCCACAGCGCCTATGGCAATAACCCTAGATAGGATTAGGAAGAAAGGAAGATTGGCAGAACAATGACAGACACACAGGGGGATAGATCCCTTCTCATTAAAAGGCATAATAAATTCTTCTGGCCGGTATGCAATCTAGAGCAGGCTTTCTTGCCTTTACATATGCTTCACTTATGCTAAAACGGCAATCTCACCTCAGATAGTGATCTGTGTGTTGAGTGTGATGATGACCAAACACTCAGGAAGAAACTGAAAAGTTCAATCAGTCACTCAGATATTTTGTTTAAAAATACCAAAATTGGGACACCTGGGTGGCTCAGCACTTGAGAGTCTGCCTTCACCTCAGGGCATGATCCCTTTCCAGGGATCAAGTCCCATATCGGGCTCCCTACAAGGAGCCTGCTTCTCCCTCTAGCTCTCTGCCCGTCTCTGTGTGTCTCTCATGAATGAATAAATAATATCTTAAAAAAAATAAAAATACCAAATTTGGGGGGAACACCTGGGTGACCCAGTTTGTTAGGCATCCAACTCTTGATTTTGGCTCAGGTCATGAGTGTCTTGAGGTCTTAAGATCCAGCCCCATCAGGCTTCCTGCTGAGCATGAGGTCGGCTTGAGATTCTCTCTTTCCCTATCCCTCTGCCCCTCCACCTTGATCCTGAATGCATTTTCTCTCTCACTCACTCTAAAAAAATTTTTAATTAAAAATAAAAAACCAAATTTGGGGAATAACTAGATATTTGGTTCTCTGTGGCTACAAATGGAAGGATAGGAAATAGCTTTCTGAAACTGAATGTAAGATATATTTTCTCAGGCATCAAATAATGTCTCTAAAATACAATCTGCTTTTGGGGGAACCTGGGTGGCTCAGTTGGTTAAGCATTTAACTCTTGATTTTGGCTCAGGTCATGATCTTAAGATTATGAGATGGAGCTCTGGGTCAGGTTCCATGCTCAGTGGGAGTCCTCTTGTCCCTCTCCCTCCCCTGCCCTCCACTGGCTTGCATGCATGCTCTCTCTTTCTCAAATAAAAATAAATAAATAAAATCTTTAAATCTATATAGATATATATACTCTGCTTTTATTGATTTTTTTCTGTCCTAAGTTTATCATTTTAATATCCATTTATTTATTATATATTTAAATAACACAAGTTGGAAAAATCTACCCTGGCAAGAATAAGCAGTGATCACATTAGTTTGTTTTTTAAATTTTTTCTTATTTTATAGCAGAAAAATCCACCTACTAAAAAAGTACTGTATTTCTCATTTTCATTATTTACTTTCACAGCCATTGATTTTATGTTTGTACTTCCTCCTTTCTCAGATTTAAAAATTAAAACTTTCCTAGGGATAATCTCAGAACTATGTACTTGAAAAATTCATGTAGCTTTCCAAATAATTATATTTCATGATGCTCATGTTTTATGGAAAAAAATACTTTCTATAATTGAAATTTTCATGTAAGAAAAGTATTTCACAAAACATGTCTACTATCTATTGCTCTTCAACAATAAAACTTCCCTACAATAATTTAAGACAAAAATACTTTGATAAGCCCACTTCTTTTTAAAGTAGCATTTCCCGCCTTAAATAAGCTAAATATTATAAGTTCTAGCTCTTTCTCTTCGCACAGAGTCAGCTCATTGGGAATTCAAAGTCTACAAATCATAGATAACTTCCTATAGATCTCTTCTTCCACATGCTTTTTTGAAAGGACTATATTTTTAGTGACCTCTTCTTAAATGATTCTTTTGTAACTCAATGGTAAAAAAAAAAAATATGCCTTACCAAGACCAGATACCATAGTAGGGCACCTTAGCAAATGGTTTATATACCTACTTACGTTGCTTGTTTTAGATGCTCGTGTTTTTATTGCAGAATAAAATAGTATATATATATATATCTATATATATATATATATATATATATATATGCTTTTTGTTCAGAGAATACATGAACTTATTAAGAACTGTTATCAGTAGTTTATTCACCACAGATTTTGACTCAACATGGTTTCACTTTGTTCCCCTATGTAGGATAACAACAGTATCCAGGGCTCCCCAAGTCCAGCAGCTAGTCCTTCAGGGTTAACTCAGTTAACGTTAGAGAGCACGTTGGGGAAGGCTGCAAGGCGAACTGATAAAGGACCTCTAAAAAGTGCCTACACAGAAGCAGGAACATCAGAAAGCCAGAATTCCTTGGCAAAGCAGATAGATAGAAAAGACTTTCAAAGGAGCATGGTGCCTACGCCATGCCTTTCTCCCCCTGGAAGAAGTGAATCCTCTCAGAAAATTCCAGATCCTCTTATCAAAGCAAAGGACCGGCCAACCCATCAAGTACCAGCTTCAATAAATAAAACCTTGCTCAAGGAGACCTCAGGGGAAAAGTTGAGACCGATTCCTGAAGTATCTGTAAGTGGTATCCCTCTGGTTTGCATAGGCGGGCAGTACGTCCTGCTGTGTTCTGTTCTGTTCCACTTCGCACGCATTTTCAGCAGGACCTATTTTTCATCATTTGGGTGATCAGTAATGTATTTGCCTTCCTATTCAGATGTGTTTTAGCTCAGTAGCAGCAGCTGTTAAAGAGGAGTATATTCACATCCCAGTGATAATAGAATGCCTCATGTTTTTAATGAGAAAGATAATTATCATAATAGTTATTTTTTTTATTTCCTGGTTACTTCTCATAATTCTAGTTATCACTGCCTGCAAATTATAAATGAAGATCTTATTTCTGAGCCAAAGGCTTGCCAGTGAAATTGACAGATTTTCAATAACAATCTACATTAGGAGCCGTAAAAACATCATTATTCTATTCACTTTCTGGTCTCTTTGCAGCAGTTTCCTAAATAATAAATGGCATGAGTGAAGGTTAACAGTAAAGTAGTGTCATTGAGTAAATCCCTAGGCTAGTTTGGTGGCTATATTCATGTTCATCAGATTGATTTTCTTCCTTCCTGTGTTGGTATGTTTCTTCCTTAAGTCCCTCCATACCTATACTTAGACACCAGAGAACAAATGAAGCCATGCAGAACAAATGAACTTATATTCATCCATTTCTTTAAAACATTGAAAGCTTTCTTTATTTGTCATGTCCTAAGTATTTTCTATGTATTACATACAGTGTAAAGCTTTGGTTCAATTATGTTCTAAGCAATTCAGGGTGGATTTTTCCCTTGCACAAATCACAGACATATGCATCATCATTAACAAACTAGAAATAGCTGATACGTCTTAAATACTTGCCATGTGCCAGTCACTCAGCCAAGCCTTTTTCTGTGGAACATTTCATTTAATCCTCACAGGGACCCTGAGAGGTAGACACCTTGATCCTCGTTTTTCAGATGAGGAGACTGAGGTTCAGAGTGGTTATGCACGGTGTTCAAGGACAACAGCTGGCTAGTTGAAGAGTTAGAACTTGAATGGAGATTGTCTGAGTCAAGACTTGCTACCTGGATCCACCACGCTGGGCTCCATAAACATGTACCGGCTCTTATGGGAATGGTGACCCCTCCACAAGAAAGACCCAGATACAACTGGAATGTGTGTTCCCCTTATTTCTCATGTTCGTATGCATGTGTGTATGCATGCATGAATCATCTAACATCATGAAAATGGATTTGTTTTATGGTGATTTAGGATGAAAGTGGTCAGTAATATTTTTGCATGTTATCCATTTTTTTGGAAATATTTCTAAAACAGATGTTCTACCTAATACCTATCTGTAATTTTTTTCTTTGCTGTGCTAATAAGTGGAATGCAGGTAATAAATGAACGTTAGAGATCTATTCTACAAGAGATCTATTCTACAACACTGCTTTATTTGACTGCAGCCAAAACTGCGCTGCCAAAAACAGAGCCAAAGCAAGTCTCTAAGAAGCCTTCCACTCCATTCCCCCCACCCCTGCCCCTGCTAATTTTTTTTGCCACCACCCTTCTATTAGGTAAAATCTGTCATCCTAATATATCCAAAAGATTGTTTATTTTGAATCATTCCATCTTTCTATAGAAATAAAGCCAGAGCATGAAAATCAGCTTGGAAGCTTGAGGCACAAATGAACTTTTTAGAATTGGCCGTTGTGCCAAGTACACTGCCTGAAAAGTAGTGCTCTCCGATGATAGCAGGGGAAAATGAAAGGTTGGAGAGAGAGTAGGCAACTTTCCATTACACCATCCTCTTCATTTGAGAGGCTTTGAGGATAAGCCAGTTCACAGAGACTATTCCAGTTGCTCCAAGAGGATCTTTCTCACAGCTTATTGCTGTCGATTGCCAAGCCCAGACTGACCCAGGTGCCTTCTGCACAGGGGCTCCTGGGCAGCATATGCCATTTTCACTCATCCATTTTACAGCTGAGAAGACTGACAGAGCAATCTCTTCAAAAGGATTAAAGAGGGAAGGAGTTTTATCTGTGTTGAGGGGATAAAGGCACAAAAGCACTGCTTACCATTTGTGCAGAGAGGTTTTGACCTCAGTGTCAAAATTCATGCTAATAAAATGTGATCTCTAATAACCCACATGATCACTACAATCTGTGTCGCTCACATTTGTGAATGTGATAACCTCAGTTTAATAGGATGTAAAATTATTGAAGGCATTGGCACTTTACCCCATTTCAGAATGAATTTATAGGGGGAATCTAGTGTTCTTCCAGAGACACCATTTAAAAAAGAAATTCATGGTCATACTGAAAGGGTGCTAATACTTGACATTCTCTCCATTTAATAACTGCAGCTAAGAATCTGAAACAAGTTTCCTCAAAAGAGTGCTTATGTGCTTGGTAACTCCACAATGGGATTTTTCCCCCAGATCCCAGAAACCCATGGCAGTGACTTTTAATTACTAATATTTAATTCACACAATATAGAATTCTGCCTTTTTTAGTGCATTCATGGAGTTGTACAACCATCACTGCTCATATTAGATCATTTTTATCATCCCAAAAGAATTCCATCCCCATTAGTAGACATTCCCCATTCCCTGCTTCCCCTAAACTCCCAGAAGCCACTAATCTGCTTTCTGTCTATGGATTTGCCTATCCTGGACAGTTCATATAAATGGAATCAGACAGTATATGGCCTTTTGGGTCCGACTTCTTTCATTTAGCATAATGTTTTCAAGTTCCATCCATGTTGTAGCATGTCATGTCTTTTTATGCCTGAACAGTAATCCATTATCTGGATATGCCGTATCTGTTTATTCATCTATCAGTTGGTGGTTTCTACTTTTGGGCTATTATAAAAGATGGTGCTATGAACATTCATATGCACATTTTCGTGTGGACATATGTTTTCAGTCCTCTTGGGTATATACCTAGGAGTGGAATTGTTGGGTCATATGGAACTTTACATTTAACTTGCCAGAAACTGCCCAACTGTCTTCCAAAGCAGCTGCACCGTATTACATTTCCACGGGCAAGGCGAGTTGAGGGGATTTCTCCACATCTTAGTCAACACTTGTTACTGTCTTTTTGTTTTAAGCCGTCCTAGTGTGTCCTAGTGTGTGTGAAGTCATATCTCACTGTAGTTTTGGTTTGCATTTCCCCAATGACTAAAGATGTTGAGCATCTTTTCATATGCTTATTAGCCTCTCCTTCAGAGAAATGCCTATCAAATCTTTGGCCTGATTTTTCCTTTGGATTATTGGTCTTTTTATTGTCCGGTTGTAAGAGTTTGGATACAAGTTTCTTGTCAGATACATGATATGTAAATATATTCTCCCATTCTGTAAATTGTCTTTTCATTTCATGAGGCTATCTTTTGAAGCATGGAAGTTTGTCATCTTATAAAGTCCAATCTATCAATGTTTTTCTTCTATTGTTTTTGCTTTTCATATCATATGTCAGAGCCATTGCCTAATCCAACATCACAGATTTATTCCAGTATTTTCCTTAAAGAATTTTATAGTTTAACTCTTAAATTTTGTTCTGTGATCCATTTCTAGCTAATTTCCGTCTCTAATGGAAAGTAGGGATTCAACTGCATTTTTTTTTACATGTGGATATTTACTTATACCGGCACTATTGGTTGAAAGAGTATTCTTTTCCCATTGAATTGTCTTGTCACCATTTTTGAAAGTCAGTTGACCATACATGTAAAAGCTTATTTCTGACTTCCCAGTTCTGTTCTATATATATGTCTATCCTTGTGCAGTATCACACTGTCTTGATTACTATAGTTTTGTAGTAGGCTTTAAAATAAGAAATGTGACTCCTTCAACTTCATTCTTCCTTTTCTGGATTGTTTATGCATCTCCATAGAAATTTGAGGATCAACTTGTCCGTTTATGCAAAAAGGGCAGCTGAGATTGCATTGCATCTAGAAATCAATTTGGGGGATATATCTTAACATCTTAACAGTATTAAGCCTTCCAGTCCATGGATATCTTTCCATTTATTTGTGTCTTTAATTTCTTTCAGGAATGTTTCATAATTTTCAGCATGTAAGTCTTGCATTTCTTTTATTAAATCTAAGTACATTTTTATGCTATTGTGAACAGAATTGTTTTTCTTAATTTTATCTTTTATTTGTTCATTGCTAGTGTTCATAGAAATGCAATTTATTTTTATATTGATTCTATAATTTGCAACCTTGCTATTAATTAGTTCTAATACTATTTCTGTGAATTCCTTAGGATTTTCTTAGAATACAAGATCGTGTCATTACAAATAGAGATAGTTCTACTTCCTTTCCAATCTAACACAGACATGATGAGCTTAGTCAGGCCTGGAAAGACTCTATTGGTATGACTCATAGGAAATGTACTTGATGCAAGAGGAAAATTTTGATGATTATCCTGGGACTAGAAGTCTGTCTAATATTATATGAATGCAGATATGAAATTACCTTTGCTGGCTAGCATTGTAGTCCACATATGTAAAGCACTGACATGTATGAGGGTTTTACCACTAAGCTGGGTTCCTAAAATAAAGGACTTCTAGGGGTGCCTGAGTGGCTCAGTCAAGCATCTGCCTCTTGATTTCAGCTTAGGTCATGATATCAGGGTTGTGAGATGGAGCCCTGCGCTGCATGGAGCCTGCATAATATTCTCTCCCTTCCTCTCCTTCTGCCCTTCCCCCCACTTTCCCCTCTAAAATTAATTAATTAATTAATTAATTAATTAATTAATTAATTTAAAGGACTTCTAGGTGATGAGTTATGGCTGTTGTAGTTCTACTTCTGGATTAGTGAGAGCATCTCCTCTTCTTCTCAGTGCTTGTCAGGCCAGGTATTCCTCCCAGGAACTAGAGATACATCAACCAAAACAGATGAGGCCTGTCTCCTTGGGGGACTTAAGACAATAAAGACATACAAGCAAGTACATAAAGTGATTATATACTATGATAAGTGGTGCAGGAAGACAAAAACAAGGTGATGTAATAGAGAACAGGATTGGCTAGAATGGTGGGTACTTT